GACTTATTTAATACTCTAAACGTCTCGGAAGTACTTACAGCAAACACAATATGTTGCCGCCAAAATATCGTTGTTAATCAGTTGTAAAATGTTTTTGTGTGTCGGCATTAGGTGTATAATGTACCGAATGTGTGTGTGTGTGGGCACACCAACCCCCTTCAGGGTGGAAGGATACGGGTTTTGGTGACTGTACAGTATATAGAAATGCGTACACGTTGAACCGTAAACCCGCAGCACGATGCCAACAGCTGTTGATGAAATTACTATCGAGAACCGATTTGGACATTAAAATTGTTTTGTCTCGACGGAGATCATATTTAATTGCTTCGAGATACACGATACGCGTGGAATTACTTTTAACAGACACAAGTCTCAAGTTTTAAGTATACAAGTGCTGCAACCCGGTGCGATATAATTATTTTGTCGACATTCAGATTTCGAGTCAGACGATTTCTCAGAACTGTTTCGACTGCCGAGTCTAAAAAAGAAATATTGATATTTATACGAGTTCGCTCCTTTGATTGATAAAAAGACGCCGAACGACATATTTTCTTTTGTACGTATAGAAATATTGAAAATGTCACAAAACTAATTTATACTTTGTGGTGGTTGCGTTATTTTTTTTTTTATACGCAGACTTGAAAATAGAAATATTTTTACAGTTTAAATAATTTTATCGCTAAAATATAAATTTCAACGTCTATCGTATTCGAAATAATGTTGCCAAGCCAATAGGAATAAATACAATCGAGTAGAAAAACACTATTTGGTTAAACAAGGTTGTCTTTTAAAATATGATATTTTCTCCGTCATGGAGACAAAGTCGAATCTCTGTGGTTACAACGTTATGGTTTTTTTATACATTGTATAAACATATTCCAAAGCATAAAGAGCAATAAATCATATCGTTTTATTCGTATTCAGCGTGAAAATCTACAAAAAAAAAGGAAAACTTCCGATATATCCTACAAAGTATTTTCTCCCCTTTCTGTTGCTTCGCAACGATTCTGCGTCTGGGCCGTGTTTTTTTTTTTATTACGTTCAACGTATACTTGTGTATTTCATTTCCGCGTACGTTTTTCCCCCACGAGTTATTCCAACCCTCTTTTTCTGCTATCCCCACAAAACTTTTATTTTCCCCTGACAACAGGTTCCCGAATCCCGGTGATGGGTCGTAACCGTAATGTGCGTTGGGCGACCGAACGAGGAGACGTCGTGCTCGCAGAGCGAAGGGGATGGCATGAGAGTACTCCCACGCTGGTGGCAAGTCGGGGCGGGGGACAAGCCGAGCCTATCGATTATTTAGTCGGCCGCTCGGTAGACCGTACTCGTGTACATAATTGTGACCTTCAAAAACATAAATTGACCTCTAAAATCCTTAACTATGTTGCATCACCGATAGTGCCTATACGAATCCCTGAAACTGCTAACTTTACATGTTTGCTGAAGAGCCTAAATATGAGGGTTATATTAAAAAAATAACTATTATATTTGTTTTATGTGCTACAAATCAATACTTGTTTAGTAAATGTACACTTATTCGGACACAATATATTTTTATTATATTTTTATGTCTAACATTTTTATGTTAGCTGATGTAAATTCGTCCGCATGAATGTTATTATTATTTAAAAACAATTAAAATAATGTATAGTTCAAAACTCCATTGATTATTATTTTTAGATGTTACGTTTTTAACAAAGTTTTCTAGTTAATGTTAATCAGAATATTTTTAGAGGATCAAGTAATAACTAAGTGTATTGATTAAACATGGCTTACTTCGTAGTTAAATAACTCATTCTCAGAATGACTTTAAAATTCATGCAGCAATAACAGGTAAAGTGATTTATTCCAACAAAAATTTCATGTTTAACGTACTTCAAACGACTCGAATGTTTTTTCATTACTTCACTTGCATAATGTGAAATACTCCGTATATTAAATCAGTTTAATAAAATTAAATGAAAATTAACAAAATTCGAATAGAAATGTTTAAAACAATATCAAAGTAACTTCCAAAAATATTATTTTGAGTTCAAGAACATCCATTTTTGATTTACTATTTGGTGAGCACGTCGGAGTTACATTTAGTATATGTACATCTTTTTAAAACCTATAGATGTTCATTGACGCAATCACTCAAAAACCAGTTTTGTTCCAAATATTTTGCACTTTGATCTGAGAAACATAAAGACTAAGATGTTTAAAATTATTTTAGCAAAAATTGTCACATTTGTTCGCCGTCAATGTCTAACATTTAACGTTTTTAACACCCGTCCCTTTGTACTTATAGAACTGTTTAATAAAAAATTTATTTTTAACGATTTCCATCTCTAACAAATCAGAATGAAGATATCACTTTACGTTCTCAAATCAAATTCACAGTGATCGACGTTGTTACGACAAGTAGATTTGTCCCTAAAATCTCCATTGTTGTCCTAATAGAAAAGCTATTGGAGAGAATCTGCAGTTGAAGATATCGATGTATATATTTCAGTATATGTGTCAGTGCTTAAATACTATACGGAATTTGAATAACTTTTTATTTTCCACGGTGTGAGTTAAAAATGATAAAAGGTCAAATGTAAAATTCGCGACTTATTATAGCCGAACACTTCAACATTGAAGATGATTACTTTTCGTGTAAGAACATTGTACTTACGACAAATCGATTGTGCCGAATTTCGGTAGTATCGATACAACACGTATTCACTTGTACATATGTATTTAACATAAATAAAATTAACCCGTAAGAGATATTTGGGATTTCTTTGTTTTCTCCCAATCGTTTTATCGATGAAACGGAAACTGAGTGTTCGTGTGTTTAAGTCACGCATTTCCGTTTTCGGATTTCCACGTCTGGTCGGTCAATAAACTACTTCAGAGGTATAAAATAACATTAAAATACCTATTGTAAACTTGTACTCGGTTGATTCCATACAATATTGTTTCGTGGCTTCAGTGGAATTTTTTTTTCAGTATACTTACTTCCTGTGAACGCATAAATAAATAAAAGGCGACACACGGGTGGCCCATCAGTGGTCAGTGCTGTAGGTATTTAGTACCAAAGGTGATAGTAAACAGTAATCGATACTTTTGTCAGTTCTCACGTACACGACACTTCTTTCAATCGGTTCAGCGTGTCCTGATCAGTTGGTGTATAAATGACCAGCTCTAATTTTTAATGCGTCAAACATCGAACGGAAACATTAGAAAACCATTTGATTTAATGCTAAACTAATTTGATGTCGACTAATTATTACTCTAATCAATGAATCGTGTATTAAGTATCAATAGTAAGTAGTAAATTATTACTTAAACGATCATTTATTTCATAGTTGTTTCCCTGAATATCAAAATACTATTTAAGTTCGCTCAAGTTTTCGCGCATTGATATTATGGAACGTATTTGAAAGTTCGTTTTTTAGTAAAGGTCTGCACTGTTCGGGTACTCGTGTAGATTTTCTTAGTTGGAAGGCGGTTACACCGAAAAATAAAGTGACCATGGTGAACTTCGGACGGTTGTTTGCTAAGCCGAATTGATTATAGCCAATGGCCACAGCTATTAAATATTACTAACCGTTTTCAATTTCCCAGACAGCGCGTGAATTGGTTTTCTTAGAAGGAAATCCAGTGATTTAATTCAAACAGTATGCGCGTCGATTGGCATTCGGTGAACGTTCTACCGCGTACTCTTTCGAGTGTAGAGCAAACTGAACAACGTATAATTACTATAAAATAGAAACCCAATAGTGTACACTGGCTGTCAAATGATGTAATGTTTTTTATGTATACTGCTGCTGTCGTTTGAATTCGTACGACGTTTTGTGGTTAGTCATTTTTCAAGAACGGTCCCAACAAACGCAATCTGCGTACAATTATTAAAACAACATATTGTCTATTACTCGTTTGACAACGCGATTTTAATGTGAGTACGTTATATTTGTTAATTAATGCGGAGCACGTTAGCGTATGAGCACATGATAATGTGTTTCTACAATAATATTGTCTCCCGGATTTCACAATTCCAGCAGTAATTATAATTGAGCTAATATAGACATGGGCGGCGAGACCAAATTAAACTATGTCCGTTGTTATCAACGACAACTATCATTTCGGCACATTTGTTACCGATTCGCATAACTCAAAACAACCGCTAGGACACGTGAGTGTGTGTGGCCGCGATTCTTTCGTTATTGGATAATTTTTGATAAAAAAGACGTTACGAACAGTTGCGCAACAGATTTCATTTAGTAGTAACACGATATTTGATTTTGTCGTGTTCACTTTACTTAAGTTGCTTTTAACGATCAAATTTCGTTTACTAAATTATACTATACGCGTATTGAGCAAAGACAATGTAATATACGAGAGTTTCTTGTTATACAAATAACAGCGTACTTCGAAAAAGTAATATCATTAGATTACATACAACACTTACAATATTTACCTCGAGTGGAAACACATCAAACAGAATATTGTGGTTATTGAAACATGAAGAACTCTACAAAATATCTATTAAATATTTTAATACGTTTATTTTTATCTAGAGAATTTCTATTTTGAATCACTTTTTTTTAAGTAATATATTTTTAATTGAACTTGAAATATTATTTATCAACCCACAGTTATAGTTGGTCCGACTAGAGTAGCCTCGAGTAAAACTCCGATTGAATGAAAATAATAAAGTGTTTTTTGTCGTTTAAAAGTTAAAAGCAATCATAAAAAATTCAACAATTTTAAACGTAGATAATAACAAGGTTTTATTTGTCCATTGAAGCTTTTTAACGTGATGAATACTAAAGTAGTGCTCCTTTACTTAATTTATGTCCGGCCGTTTCATGTTTTATTAGAGTAATATTACGGTTCAGTGCATAGTAAATTGAAGATATTTAATTAAAAGGGTCATAGAAATGTAATCGCAACAATTTACATATGAGCAAAGTTAGGTTATAGCTTTTTAAATGTTGATCTTAATACTTTGCACTTTTTTTTCCTAGCGATGAACGATTCCAGCAAAAACACCTTGCAACGCAGTTCTATGTTAAATTATACATTAAAATTGTGCAGCATATACATAAATATAAAGTCTAGTAAACACATTGGAATACGTTACAAATACTTACCTTACCCAATAGAGCAAGTCATTGTAAAATTGCTCACGAACTATAGATAAAAAAGATGAAAAATCCGTTGAGCTCACTTGAATCGAAAAGCCGTTCGTTGAGAACGAACGTTGGTCGTCCTTGAAGTCGTACTCAACCGAAATTGGGTTACCGCGACGTAGAACGGTTATAGTCGACCAAGTACACGGTAATCTTCGGACCGTGTCGGCATAAGGATAGGATGTAAGGATAATGTTATACCTTAGGCGGAACCTAGGACACCGATTCTTTGTTCAGCTGCCAGGAATCCGATGGCCTTGAGACCATTGTTATTGTCATTAATATCAGAACATACCTATATTTATCACGTAAGTACTGTACATTTTTTAATCAGCCTAGTACCGAGATGATCCGCCACAAGTGTTGTTGTGTTGAAGTGTTTGGAGCTTATGTTTTTCAGTCGGCGGAACGCAGACGGCGTGTGCAAAAAGAGACGAAATCGTTTTTTAAATGACAAACATAATCGTCGAATCCAGTCAAACGGTCGGCGGCCATTAAACTGAACGTACATTATGTACTGTCTGGGCCCGTGTCCACTTTATAGTCTTGTGTAATTTGACTTGATTTTAATTCGAGAAACGGCTGGCCGTCGGCCGTTTGGGGTAAACTACGCAGATGCATTGGGTGTACCGAGTGAATTCTGAGCGACGGTAACCGAAACCGAACAGCGAGTAATGGTGCCATATTAACGACACTATCTCGGCCGCCGTGTGTGACACAAACACGTGAAACCCAACGATCGATTTCAGTTTAATGCTTTGCCGCGCGCAGAGGACGCAAATTGCATTCGGCGGGCCACAAGACGAATTCCTGCGGTCGTTTGCTGCCGACAGTCGCACATAAATCTCGACTAAAATATTTCAGTCATTACGCGCCTAAAGGGTGGCACGTCAAAATCAGTCTACGACTGGTGCCGTCATTGTGCCGTCTCGTTCTATTCGTATTCGTGACTTATTATTAGTCACTCGGGTCGTGTCTGCGTTAATTGCATTTGTATACAACTGCGTGGAAGACACGATATGAAATAGGGGCGAATGCGAGGAGAAATGGTACGTGAGAGATGATTCATTGTGTTTGCGCGCGCACGAGCTCGGTGGACATCTCGTGGGACTTTGTTGTACCGTCTGGACGGCTGCTGCCGTGTGGGAGTACAACGAGTAAAGAATGTTCAGTCGATGGTACATAGAAAAAAACACTTGTCTCACCTGTACCTCGCTCGGACCTTTTTTTCCCTTTCTTTATTTTCCTCGGTCCTTTTTTTCGATAATATTCTCATTGAAAACGTAGTCGACCACGTCTTGTATTCCGGCAATCGCATACCACAAGTACATTTATTTATAGTTCCACAATAGTCGTTGCAATACAGGCCCTGTGCACCACAAATGTATAGTTTGTAGGTATTTCCATAACCTCCCATAGCACTCGACTGTTTTAATGGATTTGTTCTTGTCATTCCCACAAGTCTATACCGGTAATTTGAAAATTCTTTTAAAGAATTAGTGATTTTTTTTATAAGTACGGAATATTTTTTGCTCTACTTGAATTAACACTCGCGCAAACAAAATCCCCAGAATTACACAGAGCAGATTAATTATTTATTAAGCCATTAAAATGTTGATGATTTTCTAGGTACAATGTATGGGTGTCGTTAAAATATAATGTTTCATATTAACGGGCTACAGTTCTTAGTAAACACGATTAATTTTAGTATGCCCACAAATACTAAATTATTTTTTGTCGCCGTATAGACTAAACCAATCTATTCGATAAAAAAAAAAAAACACTCATACTGCAAGTTATATGTTAGTCAACTTTCTAAATGTGTATTTTTCATTGAAGGAAAACTCGAAAGTTTATATCTATTGCTTTCTTATTTATTTTTTCCAGTTTATATCAGAAGCGTAAATAAATCAAATAAATTACCAAGTGCCGAAGTGGGTGTAAGTACATTCTGCCGTCAAAATTACCTACTCGCCAATGTGCACATATATTTCTCGAATGACATAACTTTGTATAAATTAGATAAATAAAGAATCCAAAAATGTAAGAGATAAATTTTCGTTGGCGTAGTAAATTGTCCGATCTTCAATCGTTTCAAATCAGTTTTGTGTTAGCAAATAAATGTACGTACTCTAAACCAATTGGATATCGATAAAAAGTGAAATATTATCTCGACATTTATTTTGTAAAAGGATTCTATGTCGTGTGCCTTTAAACAGTAAAGCTAAAAAGTTTATACAAAATACTATTTCTGCATTAAAAAATACCGTAAGTATCAAATAATTTTTGAATAGCTTATATTTCTTTTACTAGTCAGGAGTTAAGTTCGGTTCAAAGTCCGTATGTGGAATGTTCAGAATGCAAATTTCAACTATGTACACTTTGTTTTCATAAAATCATTATTAGTGAACCGTTATTTAGTGAAAAGATCAGAATAGTTGATACATCTGCCGATGCTAGAAGATCGATCGAAATGTAAGCACTGTATTCTAAAAAATATAAAAAATAATGCTATAGCTCTATTCTGATATGTTTGTTTGAAATAATATGAATAATTTAAATAAAAATGTATATTAGACTGCATTTACAACACAGTTTTCTACTTCTTTTTATTCACACTTCTAGACACTGGGTTTTATTTGTACAAAATAATGGTGGTAGATATTCAATAGCATACGTTATTGTCCTTGTAAATACGAATTGAAAATTTAGAATAGAGACGTACAATTGCATTGGATGTTTCAATTATTTCAGATAATTTTAAAGTTTCTGTAAGCTGTGACACTTTTACAAAATTAATATATTTATATTGAAACGAAATAAACTGTCATTGTTTTGGCAAGTGGATATTTTTACATGAAACTATTTTAGGTAACAAAGAATTAATGTGTTCTACGACATTGCCGCTTTTAACAAAAATTGTTTTTTCTTATTTATTGTTCAAATAAATGACAAAATGCACTCGTTTTAAAATATTTAAAGCGAAGGTGTTTGTAGAATTATTACTTTTTTGTAACGGAGCGTCTAAATAATTAATTGCATTGTCACGTTGATTAAGACATGAATCTTCTGGCACTGGTCGACTGAAATGGAAGAAGTAAGTCGTGCTCTGGTTATCGGTAACTGCAATACACTGGATTTCTGAAAAACGTCAGATTGTTTTATGGACTCTTGTGATAGTTCTTGCTGGCAACTATCACAATATTATTAGGACGTTTTCAACCGTTTTGAGTTATGAAATCATATATCTCGTTGTGTCTACTTGTTACACTGTCGGCTTTGAGTTTATTCAATTTGTGATGCCGTCCATGAAATAATAATAATATGCTGGCCGTCTAGAGTTTTACATTATCGGGCTCGGTAATACCCTTCACAATAGACTTACGATGGTCGTTGTGTATTACTCGACCGGTCTCCGTAAATACTAAATACCACCGCGCCATTATTCGTTGTAAACTGCTCAGTAGGTGCATGTTTTATTTATGGTGCAGACATGACAGTGCCGGTGGTGTTTTGGTCCATTTAATAAAGTTCAAAACATTTCTACCACTTGCAAGTGTAATATTCTTCTATTAGTTTTACGAGTTTTTAATACGCCGAGTAGAGTTGCGGTGGGCGGACACTAAAAACTTTGAAACTGACCAAATATATCAATTGCTATAAATATATTATTTATCTATACATAAATATACGTATGTATCAATTCTATATTTTAACTTTTAAAGTGAAATACAACAATTAAAAATATTTCAGGCTCTCCACTGTTGAGAATCTGTTTCATTTAAGCAACAAGTATAGTGAGGTATAGTTATCGTTTCTTCATTTCCTACTAATAAATGTCAATATTTCTAAGGTAAAAAAATAGATTTAAAATTCGATTAGATTTGTTTTTTCACAAATTCGTTTTGTCATTAAATATGAAAAACTTCTAAAAATTGTTTTTGTACAGTTTTTATGATTAAAAATAAATAACGGAAAATATAATTTCAACATATTCTAAGAATGCATAAATTATTAAAAATAAACCAACACAAAATATTTAGTAGATCAAAAGTTATTAGATTTGTCAAAACATCATGTACCGCCCTATATCTATCCCCTTAAACCCCTCCCATTTGAGCGTTACTGAGTATAAGTGTAATAAAATATAGTAACTGTCAGAGAAACATATTCTGTTATACTGTACGTGTTGTGTTCATATTTCATGTAATACGGTTATGTGGAAAATATTTTTGTTTGTTTTCCCCCTGACAATTATAATATATAATTTTTTTCGGTAAACATTTTTTTTCAATTGGAATTATGGACTTGGATTGAAAAATGTATTTATTGGTGTGGGACAATCGTAGTTTTACTTCTTGTCAAATATAATAAGCACCGCACAGTGTTGAATTCAGGTATTCTACAGAGGGGCTGAAACCCCATAGCATTACGTTAGGCCTCCTTACTAATTCTATGTGACAACGATAACATAACTTTTTTGGAAAATAGACGCCATATTTTGTTTAATATTGACATGACAACTATTTTTTAAAAATAATTTTATGAACATTTTTGTTGATTACACCAATATTTAGAACCTCCATAGAAAAAATAATTAAACTCAACACTGACACCACATTTAAAACGTGATATAATAAACTACTTCAATTCAATAAAGAGTAAAATTACTTTGCCGGATTAAAAATTTTAATAGGCATAACATAAATATTTTTTAATTAAAATTTCTGTGGCTCAAATGACATTTGCATTCCTGAAAACCAATAACATCATAAAGGAAACAGCTTTTCCTGTTAGCAGTCTATGATGGCGGGTAGATGAGACACTAGACAGAGTGTACAACAGCTATTTCCATTAATCGTCTGTCATATTTAGTGACGTTACCCGAAAACCTTAGACACAAAAAACCGCACACGTGTTCGTATCCTGTTTTTTGTCTTGCTCGAACGTAAACTGTCATTTTTGCCAACAACACGTGTTATATAATATATTATTTACCAAATTGTTGTGTTGAGAATTTTTGTGGCAAACGCACCACCAGTCGAGTGCGCTCATACCGCGGCGGCACTGGCGGTACTCTTGTAATTAGTCAGTCAAGTCCCACTCGAAACTTTAAGCACTAGACGCGTTACTCCGAATACTCTTTGAGGCACTTGTCTGCTGTGTTTCCGGTTGACGACGGCGTGTTAGTAATTATTATTTTCCGAGTTGTTTTAATTGAGGAAAAGTAATTATAAATTAAGGGAAATAACAACTATCGAGTTGTTCTATGTCTTGAACGTCCTAATGGTTGAATTATTTTAGACGTTACACACAAGAAAGTTGAGAAAACTAATGTAGAACTGGGCCATTCTTCTTAAATGGGTAGCTGAGGGGTAATGAAAAGACAAAAAACAATTTTCGCTTAACTATAGCTACAAGGTTGTTTTCAGATATAACTTTAAAACAAAATTAAAAATATATACTTTGACAAGGTCTAACAAAGTTTTTAAAAGAAGTTACATAATCTAGATAATTTTGTTTATAAATTAACGATATATTATGACATTAATATTTACTTAAAAAAAATGTACTAATAGTAATGTTTATCATGAATAAACACAATGCAGAATAATTTCAGAACACACATAATTATTATTCGCTAGCATATTCTCATGCGGTAGTTAATTTTTAGAACTAAAATTTTTTTCACAAAATCAAACATTGTTTATACATTTTTATGTGTGTAATTATGGCATAATTGCTAATTTGTGATTATCTGAGAAACTATATGTTTCTGAACAAATGTGATAGCCGATTTGGAATCAGCATCATGAAAGATCCATTTGAATATTGTGAACCGCAGAATTTTTTTGGTTGTTTCGATGATTTTCTCCATCGAAAAAAGACAGTAACTCATTAAATGAGTTACTGGCTCTTTTTAAACTCATCTTACTAACGTTTTTTGCTTATATGATGTAATACAAAAATCAGAATTATAACAAATGTCATTAACATTGTCGTGTACAAGAAGTATCCGGTATCCGATACCACTAGGAGTCAAAAGAGAGTGCGAATAACCTACTTTGATCACGGGCATTTAGTTATTGTCCTTTTAGCGATTGCGCGTCAAAATTGCTCCTTTGTCACCGAGGAGTTCTATAAATTCAAGCCAATTTGATTTGGATTATTTTTTAGTTCAGAAGAACCGCTTTTGCGACACGTGTGGATTTATTCAGCACGCACAGAGTTACATAGTTTTAGGAACGCTCACTTAAAAAAAAACGCTATTCATTTGTAAAGCTTTTGTTTTGATGGTTCCCTTGCTCGGCATACCGTACGTGACAAAGTACGGTTATTATAATAATGAATAGTGTAAAGACTGTGTAGACATAACCGAAAAGTGAAATAGATGAACGGCGACGGAAGCCCAACAGGAACGTGTATGTGCATCGAGACGTTCAGACGTGACGATGATAATAATAATAATATATCACTCGTGTCCACCTCCTGCACAGAATTGAACATTTCTGATGGTCGGCAACGTTCAAGGTCGTCGCACGACTTCTTCAAAACACTGTCGGTTCCACCCGCACACATCGCACACACCGAATACCGTAGTCGGCATTCACAAACAATAATCTTAAAGTAAACGATAATCTTGTGATGATGATTTTTTTCCCTCATTTTATGTTACTGGTAAAACGGATTCTTTCTTTGCCAGACGACCTCATAATAATCGTTTTGCTTCGAAAATAAATCCACTCGTGACAGGATCACTGTGTACAAACATGTGCACACGAAAAAAAAGAAAGCAACTGACGAGACTGAAATGCATTTGTTAACGTTTGCAGCGCGTTATTGCTTATGAAATTGTAATAATAGTTGTGTAATATTTAGCGTACAATCGATAATGTGTGCCTAATTTTATTACTAATTAAAATTATACTTAGACTCCCATGTTAAATAAAATTTAGTTTTTGTGTAAACATTTGTTTTTTTTAACAGAACATAGATTTTATGTTTCAGGAAAAACTTAAATGTTGTCTACAGATAATTTTTTTTTTTTTATAAAAATTACAGCTTTCATGAGTTATGTTCTAAACAAATTGTCAACTTACCTGTATTTGAGTAGAGAGGGCAATTTTTCGAAATGCAACCGGGCTAGGTTGAGATAGGTTAGATTACATTTACTACAGTTTCTATTATAATACTGAATTCCAAACAAAATACACGAGACATATGTCTGTTATTACTACTGCCGTCATTATTATATTATGTACTACGTATGAGTTTTCACGTATGCTTGGATTGTTGAAAGCGAGATTCGCTCAGTGGGGCATAAAGAATTTAGAGAAAAAACATTTTTTTTCTGTAAAGACGCGCTTAATCTATTTTTTCAAGCCATACAATTCTTAAAAAAAAAAAACTACACTATATGCTGGTAATAGCGTTCACAAAAACATTACGGGAATGCCTCCTACCAACAATAGAGCTACTCTATTTTAGCACATCATCGGTAATGTTATAAGACTGTATCGGTTATGTCATCTAATTTAAATATACATACGTAATAAGTCGTGGCATAACTTGTACTTGTAAACGTGTGGTTGGTGTCTTACGCATAATGAAGGAGATGTTGTCAACCGGAATCGATCGTTAAATTGTTCAATATATTTTGGTACCGCGTACTTTATTTCTGAAAAATATTCAACTCATAAAGTCAAGTGTTCCTGTTATGTCGAAAAAGTAATCAAGTGTTTGGATTTGTAGAAAATGTTAAAGGGAACAAAGTTTGTTCGCATGCTAAATCATATAAATTGTTCACATTCACATCGTCTGTTTCTTAACCCTAAACCATTTACGTTTTTAAGAGTAATGATTTGACGTGTATTCCAATACATAGTCAAAATGAAAATTCTTAGAACAAAAAAAGACTTCTTCGTTGAAAAACTTTATTGTATCCCTTGAAATTACTTTAGATTCTTGGTAATATTATCGAGAAAGATATTTTTCTTACTTTTATAACTTTTTGAATTTCTACTGTAGTTTACTAACAGGGTTAAAATAATACTCTTGAACTCTTGCAGTTGTTTATTATGGGACTCTTTAGCTTAAAGAATCTAACAGTTAATACATTTCCAAATATTTTAAGAGTTTCCTTTTATTGAATTTAAAACTGCTTTGAAATAAACTTTAATAAATTATTAGTAGTTGCTTAAAAATAAATTAGCGCATCAATGCTAATAAAATTGTTTCACTTTATAAAATCAGAAATTGCTTAAATATTTACTTATTAGATTGTGCCCGTTTAAATATTAATTTGTAATTTGTGATTTTGTTTTCAGTTTCAAAACTTAAACGAAACGCTTATAGGGTAACGCACAATTGAACAAACACCACTGAGATTTTGACTAAATATTGTTTACTCCAATTTTAATAAGTAGTTAATAGATTTTATTACAAAGAAAATACCTAAACGAATTCTTACTGCAATTATTGTTACAATATGATTGACTTTTTATTGCTAGAAAATTCTAATTTTGAACATAAAATTATTAACTCAACATTTTGCGACAGTTAATTATAAACATTTTTACATTATAATTGAAGATCATTTTTCACAGACAAATATTTATTAACTCTATGAATGCGTAATCAAAATATAAATTAATAAAGCACTTTTTAAAATGAAAACTATTCATTGGCGTAGTCACCCTAGTCTCCATTTCGGTAAATTTCTGCTTGTGATATTTCAGTGTAAACTATGATAATCACAAACAAGTTAATTGTATCATATTGCTATTTTTAACTCGTTATATCGTTATATCGTATTGCACTAACCACACACACAATGAACTAAACTAG